CTCCTACAAGCCTCAGACCCTGCTGTGAGTAGAAGTATCCTGGTTTGGTTAGGGGCCAAGCATGACAGGGCAGCAAATACTGGCTCCAAGCCTCACACAAATGGGTCAGCGGTATAAGGAAACTTTTGTTTAGGTGGTGTTTGGGACTGAACCCAGGACCTTACACATGCTAATCAAACACGCTACCATCCCATTTTATTGTTATTTTTGTTTTGGAATAGGGTCTCGGTCGCCCAGGGTGGCCTCCAACTTGCTCCTGCGTTAGCCTCCCGAGTAGCTGGGATTGTAGGTGTGCGTCATTGTGGTCAGCTAACGAGGAATCATTGTAAGCCCTAATTTCTTCAGTTAAACTACTCAAGCTGCTATAAAGCATATAATGATACAACCTGACTAATAAACTAACACTTTTCTTAGCACATGATGAAGATCAATGGTAGTTATTTCAACTTTTTGTTGAGAATGTGGTTATACTGCCTTCACTGCAGAATTTCTTTAAAAGAATGCTTTAATTATTTGACTATTACATAGGGAATTTCCTGAATACTTTTTAAAATTAGCTGCAGTCTCCCTCTGAATTTCCAGAAACAAATCAAGTAGGAAAGTGGCATCTCTGTTAATCCATATATAACATTTACAAATTGTTCGTCTTCTAAGTTTTTTAAACTATAAGAAGTGGTTGCAAATGTAGATTAACTTTATATAGTTAACACATAAAACTCAACAGATGCCGCCTAAAAGGTCTCAAATGTAACACCACCACATTCTCAAACCGTCTGTGTTTCTGAGATCTGTACACTCCTGCACATTTTGAGTCATCCATTGGCTTCTAAATATACATTTCATGATCAATGCGGACAGGAGCAATCGTCCATGCGTATGGCCATGAATTTTCAAGAGCTGGACATTCTATTTTCCTTCCTACCTTAGATTCTACTATAGCATACACCTGCATCTAGGTTCCTTCATGAGATGCTGTGTTATGAGCTATCAGTCACCCCACTCCTGTGAGCAAGGATCACTCTCCCCTCCCATGTATTTATTTACATGGATGCATAATTACCTTTGGAAATGTGATACCTGTATATAATTTTTCTAAACATGTTTTATTCATCAGTTATGAAATAAAAGCTACAATCCCCTTTGGATAAAGATGCACTAAGAAGGCGCCAAATGTCAGGTGATATTCTGCCTCTGTGTCTTGCCTTCTACCGCCCAAACCTTACTGGCAAGCTCCATGAATAAACCCTACATTCGACTTCCGGGAGAACATGGCGGACAGATAACAGCAACTACCGGAGGCTCTCTGAAAGACTCGGCTCAGAAGCCAGGAATGGTGCGGACTAAGGAGACATAAGCAGGTGGAGATATGCTCTGCTGACTCAGGAACGAACTGGGCTGAGAGAAACCAACTTGGAATGCAGTCCTGGCGCTAAAACAGGAACAGAAAAGCCTCGGTGTGGAGGCTGGACCCCGCGCCATTGTAAGCCGCGAATTAGGTTTCCCGCCGCGCGGTGGCTGGCTGCCTCTACATCGGCTCAGCAAGGAGAGAGACGCGCAGGAGCTCTGAGAACAGCAATCTGCGAACGGCAGGGAGGCGTGCACTGACTTGTGGTGAGGTGAGTGAGAGAAACTGACACTCTACCACAGTTTGACTCCAGCAGAGGACTTTCTGGGCCCGAGCAATCCTGCGGGGAGCAGGGCGTGGTGGCGACTCCAGCCACACATCCCCCTCTCGGGCGGGATTGGTGAAAAGTGCCTGGCCTGCGTGACACTGCCGGCAGACCTGGTAGGCTGTCCCAACCCAGATCCCAGAGCCTGACGGTGGCCGGGAGGGGAGACACGTAGGCTGCCTGGTCCGTAACTCCCTGGTGCGCAGCGGTGAGCGGGAACACCTAACTGGCGCAATTCGATCAGGCTGTGGCTGACTGGGAGAGAAGCTGGGCCTCTTATATAAGCTTGCATATATAAGGAACAGAGAATATGGGAAGAGGCAGCAACAAGAAAGGCTCCTCGGCCCCCAATTCTGAGAATCAGGCAATAGCAGACACCGCACCAATACACATAAGGCGCCATATAGAGAGCCTCATAGACCAATTCAGGAATGAAGTTATCAACGACCTGAAGCTAGAAGTATGCAGAATAGTTAGAGAAATGCTAAGTACCACCCAAGAAAAAACAGGTGGTGGAATGGAAGAGCAGAAAAAAAGGGGAGAATTGTTTGATGGAGAAAACAGAGAAAGCATAGAATACGTGAAGCAGGTTCAAAGGGACTACCAAGATACTAAGAAGTCTATCGAAGACTGGCATAACAGCTTGAAAGAAACTAAGGACAGACTATCTGAACTGGAGGGCAGACTTGTAATATGGGAGAATGAAATGAAAAACTTCTTAAAAATAACAAAGAAACAAACAGCAATAATACAAAGACAAGAAGATGAAAAGAGGATCTATAACTTAAGGATTAAGAACATAAAAGAAGAAGTAGGGACACAAACAAGGGAACTACAAAAGCTACTCACAGAAATAATCCAGGAGAATTTTCCTAATTTAGCAAAAGGTAAAGATACTCAGATGTATGAGGCATACAGGACCCCAGCTACCTACAACCCAAACAGAGCAACACCCAGGCATATAATAATAAAAATTCCAGAAATTCAATACAAGAACAGAATATTAAAAGCTGTCAGAGACAAGAAACAGACCACTTACAAGGGAACACCCATCAGAATTACAGCAGATTTCTCTGCACAAACCATCAAATCACGAAGAGCGTGGGGGGAAATAATTCAAGCTTTGAAAGATAATAATCTCCAGCCAAGATTGAGATATCCTGCACAACTGTCCCTGGAAATTGATGGAAAAACAAGGTGCTTCCAGGATAAAGAGGAACTGGGGGAATTTGCAACCACCAATTCAACTCTACAGAGAGTATTGCAGGATATTCAAAAAAAAGAAAAATAACAAAGAACCCAGAAATAATGGCAGAGAGGCCACAACGAATGGAGCAGAGAACAAAATGAAGAAGACAAACTGACAGCTACTGACAGAAAAAGAGCTCAACAGAAATGAGGCAGAGAAGATTGGATGATAGGAACAGCTATTTTGGAGAAAATGACATCTTAATAGGTAATACTGATTTAGTATCATCTTGTTTTGAAGTCTCATCTAGCTTTTGTCCTTCTGTCTCCAATGGTCTAAATAGGCTGTATCTTACTGGATTTTATTATGTACGATAGTATAAGAAAAAACCTTTTAAAGACAAGGAGATTATACAGAAACCATTGTTCATCTTCTGTTAGTCAATTCTAAATACTCTGTAATGCTGTCATTCTCTTGAATGGTTTTACATTGTTTTGATATACTTAATGCTACAGTATACGAGGTTGTACTCAAGGATTTCAAAGAAAGAGACAATATGGTAACTACTTTTAGGTTAGGATTATCTGGTGGTGAAACACTATTCTGCTTAAATGGTTATATTTTGATCTGCGCTGTTTTGTTGTTATGCCCTCTTTTATCTCAATCTCCACTCCATTATTTACTTTTTTATCTTTATCCTTTTAATTAAAGGAAAAAAAATAGCAGGATATATTATAGTAACCCACTTTGACTTTTCATTACCTTGATTTAAAGCCCTGTATTACTCTCACCATCTGGTTTTTAACTGATGTTCCCCTATTCTGTTTTGCTGGATAGTATCAGGTTCGAAAGTTTAGGCATCAGCTGTGAAGATAATGAGATTCATTATGACGCCCATTCTTGTTGACTTTTATCTACTTTTGAAGACCTACAAAGTCTCCAATGTTTAGGTTTTGTCGGTTTTATTCTTTACTGTTTTATTCAATTGTATTATAACTAACGATATAGGCAATTCTATTAGAGATAGCGGGAGGCATTATGGTAACCATTGTTGATCACCTTGTATTATGTTTTTACATTATCTATTATGCCCACCCTTTTGACTTGACTGATTCTGTTCTGTTATGTCACATTTGGTTTTACTCTCTTCCAAAAAAGTAATAAGAACCGTGGGAGCAATGAAACCCAAAATGTGTAATAGTCATGGTACAAAAGAGAGGAAAAGAAAGTGCTCCAAACTATATAACTGCATGTATATTTAAGTGTATAAGATAGAAAATGATATCACAGAGTTTTATTGGATCAATGAACAGAACTGTTTGCAGTATCATTGATGGAATGTCCACTTTACAAGCTTTAATTTTGTGACTTGAACAATTATTTCTAAGATGACAATATGTAATCCATTAACTAGTGATTTCCTACTGTTCATTTTTTTTCTGTAAATCTGTATAACTTGTACCTTTTCCCTGCTTTTTTTTTCTTTTCTCCTTAAATAAAATAAAAAAAAGAAAAAAAAACAAATTAATATTAAAAAAAAAAAAAAAAAAAAAAAAAAAAAAAAAAAAAAAAAACCCTACATTCTTTGTCTTTTTGGGACAGGGTCTTCCTATGCAGTCAGGCTGGCCTTGAGCTCACTTCGTAGCCAGACTGGCCTCCAACTCGAAACAATCCTCAGGCCTCAGCCTCCTGAGTGCTGGGATTACAGGAGTGAGCCACCACGCCTGGCTTCAAACCCACATTCTTAAAACTCTAGTTAGACAGCTCAGTGTGATTGTGTGATTCATTATACTAAAGAGCACACTTTTACTCTAAATATCATGTTGCAGTCGTACAAAAAACAAGTTATCTTGATTCATCAAAGATGCAAACACAACAAACAGTATTCTAAGCATCCAAGACACACAGTGTGTGGTCAAAGAAGGGGGAACGGTTTTACAATTTGGGGGGAAAAAAAGAAAAAGAGGAGGAGGAAGAAAAAGGTGGTGGAGAAGGAGAAATGAAATAAAACAATTCTGGCCCCGGCCCCAGGGTTCTAACTTAGGAAGTTTCTGCAACTGTTTGAAGTCAAAGAAAAGTAAACAAACATGCTCTGTGTAAAGCACCAGTCACTGCTATTTTAACCTGTGTGCTGTGATTACCAGTTTGTCTCTCTGCCGTTCTCCGTGGATGAGGAAGCCGCTGCGTCCATTGCCTTCGGGGTGCATGACCTTACAGACCCCGACTCGACTGATGCCGCCTCCTTCCTGTGGGAACCATCCCCCGCTGGAGTCATCTCTGGTCATAACCACAGCCTTGACACGCACGATATAGCTGTCACTAAAACGACAAGAAGAACGGGGATGACAACGGTCTGGTAGCTGCAGGTCACCCGCCAGTCTGTCCTCCTCTGTCTACAGAGAACCAGTGGCTGGCTGGTCAGAACCTGAAGGCGGAACATGGCAGCTTTTAGGGGGGAAAAATCACAGCATGTAAACACGTAAGCATCAACAATAAAATGAGTGATTATATGGCCTCTTTAGTTTGTAAGTTGGGAGGACAAACTTACTACCTGAAGAGGACATTATGGTTTCAACCCTTTAAGTTTAGTTTAAAACAAATGACCAATCTTAGTATTTTATGAAACTAGTAATTTTTACCACAAGACAGTCAACTTCTAAAATCACAAATTCTCCATGTATAGAGGCAATTACTTTCAATTCAAGTAACTACACAGCTGTAGTCTTCAGTTGTGATTCTAATTTTTTTCAGTCTAAAACCTCCATTTCACAGTAAGTTCTGCACTTTTGCTAAAAATTCTTTCTCAAAAAATAAAGTAAGAATTCTTTGTCTTCTAGAGACCAATTCTAGTTTCTTTTCATTCTTTATCATTTTGGGAGACAATTTATTTGGATTTTCAACAAGCCCATTAAATTCTCACCTGGTGTTTTCTTTGGATAGAATTTTTTTTTAACCTATTCAAATGTATATTCGCAGTCATGTATACCAGGCGTGGGGCGGATTCTAGGGCAACAAAGATGCAGAGGAACAGAGAACCCTCTTGTTCCTTAGGTCCAGGGAAGACGACTTGGAGCCTGGCATCCATAACAAGCTGGAGATGGAGACCGTGGTGACAGTCCCTGTCCCACATGCCCGCTCTTCCCCTCACCACAAGGGTGAAACCATTGTGATTTTCCCTAAGCGCCTACGCTCCCCCGTCCACTGAGACTCAGGACTCTAAGTCCAGCAGCCTCACTTATCTTCCTGATTTCCTTTGAGATGCCAAGAGCAGAGAGATCATGAGTTCGAGGCTACCCTGGACTGTATAAGGGAGACTGTCTAAAAAAGCCAAAAACAGGCGGGTAGAATATAACACAAAACCGAACATTTACTTTTTACTTCCTGATTTTTAAAGTCTTCAGCACCTGGCCCCAACCCTACTTAGCTCAGGTGCGTCCAGGGTGGTCCGGGCACAAGCCAAACTGTTTTAAGTACACAATTCAGTGGCACTGCTGAGTTGTGCACTGCCGTGCGCCCGTCAACACCAAGACAGCTCCAGAATTCTGCATTATCCCAAACTGAAACCCCACACACTCTAAACCCCAACTCCTCCTTTTTCCTCCCCACAACCCAGCCCCTAGCAACCATCACGGTATTTTCTTGTCCCTTTGAATCTGAGCCCCACGTAGAAGGTGCTTTGCACTGGGCACCATCCTTTGGAGTTGTGCTCCTCAGGTGCTGGCTGCGGGCTATTTGCCCTCCTCTGAGCCTAACTAGCAGCTAACCATGTCCCTCTTCTATCTTCCACAGCTCTGGGTGCCATGTACCCACTGCCCCACAGGTGCCCAAAGAGGATGGCAACCAGGCTTCCACCCCCCACCTGTCTGCTGGGATCCCTGCACCATGATATGTGGTCATTTCATAATGATCCCAAGGATCCGTCCAAGTCCTTGGCTTCACAGTTTCTGGGGCTCAGCTCCACTGCCTTTGTCTTGTACCCAACTGTAGAAATCCAGGCCTGGGTCACACCTTGACTGGTCACTCACATCGATGCCATCTTCTTGCTCTCCAACCTCCCAACTTCACAGCTCCTTCCCTCCAGAACCCAGTAATCTCTCATCCTGCTGGGGCAGGCAGTCCGCTGACCACCTTTACCCAGCTCTCCACATCCCTCCTGTCCTCACTGTGACTCTGCCCTGACCTCAGTTCCGTGGTCCATTGCAGTGTACAAGCTCAGTGCCCAAGCCCACTATTTCCTCACCGAGGCTGCCTGGCACAGCCCAACTCACCTTGCATCTACCCACGCCATGTTTCCACCCAGCCTGCTGACTGTGGTGAGAGGCCACGCCCCACTCTACAATGCTCAGGGACTCGTTTCAAAGTCATCACCTCTAACCTCGAGTGGGTCCTGGGCGCCATACAGCATCCTATGTGTGCCCACTCCATCCCCAAGAAGACTGCTTCACACAGCTCAAAAAACAAGACCCCCCCCCCCCAAAACAAAAACCAGATTTGCAGCCAACAGAATCCATATGAAAGTGTTGATCCTCACTTACTTAGGAACTACAGTAAAGGCTTAACTGGGGTGGCACTGAAGATTTTCTTCTCGTTAACATGAATGGTGCGGACTGCGTATGTAGAGGTACACACAGAATCACAGGTCACGCACTGCATCCATCTATCACTGACCCACACACCTTGGGATTCCATGTGCCTACTCCTCGGCACGTTCCAGATTAAGAACAGCTCCAGCTTTGTAGCACCTCATGTTTTCTGTCCCCTACACCCCACTAACTAAGAGTCCCTATGGTTCACACTTCTTCAGTGTACAACTGACTTTCTCGACGCCTGAGTGTGACTATGGACTCAGCCCCACAGAAATGTCCAAGGAGGAGAGGGACACCCTGCCCACCTTTGCTGACATTGTACTGTCACTTGCTTTGTGTTGCTGTGCTGAGCTAGTCTCCCTTCGGTGCAGGAGATTAAGCAAACATTTAAAAAAAGAATAGGAGGGGTTTGCATTATTTACACTAAGGTCAGAGTTACCTCCAAAATACCTGTTTACTAGAGATTTTAAAAAATACCGTTGCCCCCGCTTTCAGACTACAGAGGCTGCCGATTCAGGCATGGGGTCTGCTGCACCCTTGTTCCTGAGCAGGTTCCTCTGTGACAGGAGGGAGGTAAGGAGGTTAGGGGGCGGGTGGCAAGATGTCCTGCGACTCTCCCTTGGTCTCTCTCCTCCATGGGTGACGCTCACAGCCAGCGTGACTGGAGCATCTGGCTGCTTAACACAAGGCAGGCCTGAAGCGCTGTGCTAAAAGCTGGGCGGGCATCCGGATAATCCAGCTGCATGGCTGCGTGCCAAATGCTTCCTGTGTGTGGTTCACTGTGGATATTCAGATACTCAGGCACGTTACCCCACCCAGCGAGCAAGGACAATGACCTCTACTACCAAAAGGCATAAAGGAGAAAAACTCACTTCTCTCTTTCCTTCCCCAAATTCTGAAAATAATTTAAGAACAACTGTTTTAAACACATGCAAGAAGCCAGGTGGAGTGGTGCACTCCCGTAATCCCAGCACTCAGGAGGGTGAGGCAGAAGGATCTTTGCAAGTTCAAGACCGGCCTGGGCTACAAAGTGAGCCCAAGGCCAGCCTGAACTGTATAGTGAGACCCTGTCTCAAAATGACAAAACAAAAACAAACAAAATAACAGATGCAAGGGGTTTCTGGCGGTGGGAGCAGAAATGGAAGAACAGATTCATTTTTTTTTTTAAATTTTGCAGCAGGAAAACAAATGCTCCTGGAGAGGCAGGAGATTAGCGCATGGCAGACTGGACGGGGAAGCAGATGAGATCTGCTAATTACAAAGTTCTAGGACACATGCACAGAACAGTTCCCGAAGTCCTCACATTGACTTCTCTGAGACCTAAGCAAGTTTTCCGTAGGACGGGCCTGCCTGACCTCAGCCCAAAGCCTAGAGATACACAGGGCAGCTGCGACCCTCTCCCACGTGTATCAGTCCACCCTCACACTGTAGGCGTACTTCCCCCCACTTTTATTTGGCCCAAACTCACTCTGGGGAGCATTTCTTTTCTCACCTGTAATCATGTAAAATCTTGCTACCTTTTGTGCCCATCTTGACCAATTCTTTGTTCAGTATAAAAAGAACCTAGAAACCACCTCTAGAAGGAGATTTCAGCCACCTAAAAATCTGGTAACACTGGCAAACCTCAGAAACGTTTTCAAAACATGCCACCACGGTCAAAGTTATAAAGTTAAAAAAAGAAAAAAGCTTCTCTCGCTGGCATGTTACACAGGGCACCAGTGAGGACCCAGTAAGGCTTCGGTCACACGCTGCTGCAACCAACATGCACTGCATGAGCCCAGGTCCGAACCTGACCTGAATGTCTTCACCCACCAGTGTTATCCCGAATGCTGCCTGCCACACTCAGCCAGGACTCTGCTCCTTAGCCATGTCTGAGAACTGGCTGGACGCAGGACCTTTCATTTTCAGTGTTCTTTAAGGAAACCGCTTTCTCTTCCCAACCTGTGGACTTCTTTGTCCTCTCATCAGTCAGTAGAAAGAGGCAACTAACATCTTACAGCAGGACGAGGTGGCAAAGAAAGAGCAACTCTGAAACCAGGTTAGCACCCCCAAATGCAAGTGTTAGATCTCCAGGTTCAAAGCAGCCCGAGTCAGAAGTCAGCAAAGGCACCATAGGGTATGGTGTCGGTGATGCTGCAGACACATCGTGTCGTGTGAAGAATTCATGTGCTGCGCGGCCAGACGGCAGCAGTGCACAACTGCTTTAGTCACAGAAAATTTTGCTTTTCTGAATTTCACTTTCTTCCTTTGCAAAATGAAGACAAGCATCTGCCCCGCTGGTTAAAAGCAGCAATGAAGGTCAAGTGCCAGAACCAGAGAAGTAAGTGTGATAAGCGGGAGCCCTCATTATTTCAGCTGAAAGGCTGGCTCTGATCTTGGAGACGGAGGAGTGGGTTTAGAGACTGCCCAGTGAAGGGCCTCCAAGGAGAGGGAGCGCAGGGATGCAGAGGAACATTTGCAACTGGCCCCCGGCGCGGAAGTCAGTTCCACAAAGACCAGGTCTGACAGCGCATTGCAAGCACACCTGCAGAGGAGAGGAATTCCGCCTGCCATCTGTGCCTGGCCCTTCTGCTACTGCACCTCCTCCTCTCTTGGCACCTTTCAGGGATGGAGACTAGGATGTCTGCCTCTCCCGTAAATTCTCCCCCACCTCCTCCCCAGCCCTTATCTGATTATAGGATTCCTTTATTGCTCCATTATGCTGAACATCGGACTCACTTCCTCCCAGGCTGT